CCCCCCCCCCCCCCCCCCCCCCCCCCCTTCTCTTCTTGTTACCAAGTTCACTTAATCTCCTCACCTCCTTTTTAAATCTCTACCATGTCTCGAACAGCCTCACCTATCCATCCATTCATCACTGCATGACCGGGGGGACAAGCGGCATCAAACCTAGGTACCAAGTCCAGTTCAGCACCGCTTGAGCAGAGATTGTATTTGTGTAAGTAGTAGTACAGGTGATCTATTGTCGCTTTCCTCTTTCTTAGCTGCCTGAGCGTTGCCTGTGCCTGCCTATTCGAATAGAACCCAAGTACAGAATTTTATTTTTCTCCAAGTCGTCGAACTAGGCACCTCTACCTGAACTGTCCTAACTTCTTCTATCCTTTCCTTTTTTCCGTTTTCCGCTTTTCGCTTCCACGACACCCAGGAAATGCGAGGAAGAAGAAGGGGAAAAGAAGAAGAAGAAAAAAATAACAGGCCAAGCGATGAAAACGCTGCTGATTCAGAAATATGCCGCTGGGTTTAATGCAAGATGTGGACATTCCACGAGAAATGACCGAACAACGATAAGCAACGAGTGCCCATATCCATGATGGCGGCTTTGCAAAAAGAAAAAGAAAAATTACACTTTACATACAAATACAAGAAGGGGTTTGTTTTGATGTCGCACGCTCCATCCGATCCTAGAATGTGATATGTAAAATATTGATTGGGGTGTCTATTATCCATAGCCTCCATTTCTTTTTATGATAGGACTGAAAACACATGTCAAGATGCATAACAGCTCCTCGAATCTCCGAGTACTTAAGTGCAAGGCGACAACTTGTGTCCTGAAAACAGCATCATTGTTAGCATCACAGCCCTACGGAGCAATGCGTCTGAGCTGGTCAAGAAGCTTTTGTGCTTGTTGGGCATCGTAGCCCGTCGGGACCGGGGGTGCAGAACCGACCCCATATGCTGGGACGTCGCCATATCTTGGAGCTCCCGGATTGGCGGCGCTCCTCAGGTTTCCGAGCAAAGCGTTGATGTCGATCTGGGCAGCTTGGGCAGCTGCAGGAGCCGGCGGGGCCGCGCCAAAGGGCATGGCTGGATGAGGCGGTTGCGGAGCCGCACCTTGAGATTGTGTCAAAGTGGCCAGGAGTGCGCTGAGGGATTCGTTGTTGAGCTGACCAACCACGCTCGAGATGTCTTGCACTGGGGCAGGCAGCTGCTGTATTTGAGGTGCCGGAGCCGGAGGGATGGCGTAGGGCTGCTGTTGGTATGGATAGCTGACAGGAGGTGGAACCTCTGGGCGATACCCGTGGCCATAATTGTTGACTGGGTAGGTAGGCGGCGGCTGCGGTGGCTGGATGCGCTTCTTGTCTATCACCAACGCAGCAGCCTGATGCGGCGTTACCTTATAATCGTCGAAGTTGATGCTGGTGGCGGTCCGAGTAAACACCCGAATGTCGAGCTGTTGTTTGCCGGGCGAATTAGGGTCAAGAAAACTGACCGCATGCACGCCTTCCACCATCTGACGTTGTATCAACGGCTCCCGGGGAAAGCGCGGATTCGCGTAAATCACATTTGTCCTCAGCCCATATGAATGGAAGACGCTCTGAACCCACGAGACGAACTCCTTATGTACGTCTCCAAGGAGGACAAGCTGAACATCTGGAACATCGGCTCCGTAGCGGAAAGGCATGTCAAGCTCTTCGCTAGATGGCACGCGCCGATGCGGGCTGTCATCTCTGCGTCGATAGCCGTTATCATAATAGCGGACTGATGGCGGCGATCTGGATCGGCGGCTGTCATATCCAGGGCCAAAGTCACGGTCTCTGGAGCCCCTAGCATATCGGCCGTCTCGGCTTCCTCGGTGAGGAGAAGGTGAGCGCCCAGGACCCGGGCGGTAGTCATCTCTACGCCAGCCCGGATCCCTCGCCTCATAGCGGTCTCTTATACGGCTATCACGTGGCAAGCGGCGGTCAGGCGACCGCTCTCGCTCACGTTCACGGTCGCGCTCAGGGTGTTCTTTCCGAGTTCGATCCTGTTTCTTGGATATCTCCAAATCTTCGAGACGGTTAGCTGGCATTCATCTTCACCCAAGTCGCTACACCCTACACAACAAAAAAAAGTTGAATTTTAGGCCTAAAGGTTGGTGGTAACAACTGCTAGGAGCAAATCCACTTACTGATTGCACGTCCACCGAGTTCGACGTCGCGGCAGCCGCGAATAGCAGCAAGACCTTCCTCAATGGTATGATATTGTACGAAACCATATGCATTCTTCAGAGAGATCTGTGCAAGGCGTCCGAACTTGCTAAAGACATCGAAGACTTCGCGTTTTGAGACTCTCTCACACGATAAGTTACCTACACTACAGGTCAGTACATGCCACCGCCAAACAAGACAAGCGAGTGTTGCACTTACCAATAAAGATACGCGAGCCTTCAGGGAATCGTTGCTCCCATCTAGCCTCCAATGTGTACTGCCTCTCATCGGCAAGGAACTTTTCGTAGTCTTGATCGCTTGCTGGCGCATAAATGTTGCTTATGAGAGAGTTACCAGGCCCCGGAAGATGTCGGGAGTTATGCGCGGATGCGTAGGGTTGGGTTGGAGCATTATTGAAGGTATTGGGTGGAATGGGAGGCAGAGATGAGATGGCTTCATTGCCGATACCGGAGCCGCCAGGTGGCATGTACGCAGTACGTGGTGTCCCAGGTCCAACGCTGGGAGATGAGCCTTGGGCATGTACAGAGTTATGGGGTCGGGGATGAAAGTGATGGGCCTGAGGTGGGATGGCAGGTAGGCCGCCTTGAGGTTTAGGTGGAAGCGAAGCAGAATGGGAAACATTCAAGGTGCTTGGCCCGTTCTGGGAAGTTTGAGTGGCAGGCGGTTTGGCTGAAGCAGCTGCTACAGATGAGGCAGAAGCCGTGGTGGGGGATGCGGCAGCTCTGGCCGTGATGTTGTCCACGAGCTTCTGGATATCAACGGCAGTGTCATCATCTTCATTTGCCGGGGTCGGGCTATTTGAAGCGGCAGCAGAGTCTCTAGTAGAGGGCTGGACATCAGGAGCAGGAGGAGCATCTGGCATTTGGATCTCGCCGGAATCTGGTGCGGAAGGCACCTCGGCCATGGAAGAAGTGCCGCTGGGCGCGGCATCGGGTACAGGATCGGGATTTGAGCTTTGGAGATGCTGATGGGGGGCGGCGGGAGCGAAATCAGATGGCGCATCTAGAGACTGAAGCGATTCGTTGGTCTGGGCTGGGAGCTGCTCGGCTTCAGAATGGGGCTGGGTTTGGCTTGTGACTTTGGCTGGAGGAGACGATGAAGGATCAGAAGGAGGGGCAGGTGCAGTGGAAGGCTGAGTCTTCGAAGGTTCAGGCGTGGAAGAATCATTCATCTTAGTTTCTGAGGCCTTTGATACATCTGGCTGCGCCTCGTCGGCCTCACCTTCACCTTGGTCTGTGGGCGAATCAAAGGTGTGCGCATAATCATCGCTGCCCGTCTCTGGCTTGTTCCCCTGCTCCTGGCCCTGTTCCTGCCCGTCCTCATCATACGCATCAAGGCTGTCGTCATCATCTTCCGAATACTCGCCGGCAACTACTATGGTGTCGGACACATCGGAAGACTCTTGGACCGGCTCTGGCATGGCGGGCGAGATGTACGAGTTGTACGAGGGTTGAGACGTAAGGTTCGGATTGGTTAATTGACTGGTTAATTCCTCAACTACCGCGTCAATAGCGGCAGC